GCGAGACCCCTATTTTCAGCAAGTTTTGAAAAATATTTTCCAAGGCATTTTTCCATCCTCATTCCATCCTAGGCATTCCTAAGCCATATTTAAGACTCTTTAGTGAGGATTTAAGGTTAAAAACACACTAAGAACCAACGACATAAGTTTTGTGCAATTAGAATGTGTGTTTCAAGTGTGTGTCCGTTATGTGTTATGTAGGTCACGTGCCGCGTATCGTGTGATCAATCTGCTCCGTCTGTCTGTTTCAAGGCCAACTATGAGTAATAATTTAGTAAAGTTATGTTCAAACTGTATCTACTTTCTGTGTGATAAAACAAGATCTGTTTTTCGAAATGATATGTTATGTACAATGAGTGATGGTTCAATTTCTGATATGTATTGGTGACATCCTTAGCATCATGTGATATATGTTAGCTGTTACCCGGTATCGGAGGTTCCTTTATGGAACTTATTTCTGTCTGCAATCTGTTACCCGTATCGGAGGCCCTGTCACGAGGGCTCAGCTTCTGTTCTATTCTGTTGCCCGAATCTGGAGGTTCCTTTATGGAACTGGTTATTCGTAACCTTACGTATATACGTTCTGTTCTGTTCTGTTCTGTTAATTCTAATGGATGTATCACGTAAACTTAATCATGACTTATGATTTCTGCCTGTATATGGTCTGGATAAACTATGGTTTTGATATGAAACTGAATTGTGATTTCTGAATCTGTAGAACTCATTCATTAAAACCCTTTACTCTATTATTATTCACTGGGCTTCGTTCACATATTATATTATGTATGTAGGTGAGCCGGCAACCCTTCTTTTAAATACATTAACAACATAAAAAAGTACAATTATGACATTGATATTCCCCAAAAAATGTACTATCAAAGTGTAATTTTGGAAAATCAATTTTTTTAAAGTGTAATAATTGTACTACTAAAAAAGTTGGATTCCCCAAAAAGAATTATTATTTTGGGACGGAAAAAGTATCTATATATATTGGTATCCAAAGGCCATGCCTATTTGCTAGTCTAGATTGCGTGGGATTATAAGTATAATGAAATTGAGTGAGATGATTACTAGTATGGTAATATTAGATTAAGGTGTGCAATTAAAATGTGTGTTTCAAGTGTGTGTCTGTTATGTGTTATGTAGGTCACGTGCCGCATGTCGTGTGATCAATCTGCTCCGTCTGTCTGTTTCAAGGCCAACTATGAGTAATAATTTAGTAAAGTTATGTTCAAACTGTATCTACTTTCTGTGTGATAAAACAAGATCTGTTTTCCAAAATGATATGTTCTGTACAATGAATGCTTGTTCAATTTCTGATATGTATTGGTGACATCCTTAGCATCATGTGATATATGTTAGCTGTTACCCGGTATCGGAGGTTCCTTTATGGAACTTATTTCTGTCTACAATCTGTTACCCGTATCGAAGGCCCTGTCACGAGGGCTCAGCTTCTGTTCTATTCTGTTGCCCGAATCTGGAGGTTCCTTTATGGAACTGGTTATTCGTAACCTCACGTATATACATTTTGTTCTGTTCTGTTCTATTAATTCTAATGGATGTATCACGTAAACTTAATCATGACTTATGATTTCTGCCTGTATATGGTCTGGATAAACTATGATTTTGATATGAAACTGAATTGTGATTTCTGAATCTGTAGAACTCATTCATTAAAACCCTTTACTCTATTATTATTCACTAGGCTTTCACTCACAGTTTATATTATGTATACAGGTGAGTCGGCACATGACCAGGGCCAGAGTTGACGGCCTTTTGTTTCCTTTTTGTCAGCTAACTGTTGTGCCTCTCAACGAGGTTTCGAACGAAGCCTAAAGCCATGGCTGTTTTTTTTTTATGTTCATGCTAGTCTTGTAAAGTCAGGTCTTGGGAAGTACATTCTGTAAATACCTTGTAAATATTGTGTATCTGGACTGGCATGTTTATGTATATATAAATAAGTTTTGAAATGTTTTGTCCCATGTACATTATCACAGCTCATTGGACCTTGTATATTTTGTATTATTACTTCCGCAGCCCCTTATTATTTGTTAATCTGTTCAGAGGCCTTTGGTAATCCACGGATTAATGGCCGATTACGGTGCTAAACCTACAGGGACGGGTTTGGGTCGTGACAGCATGTCCTCCAACGGAAACGGTGGCTGCATGACGTTATTCTGCATCATGAAGTTAACAACCAATTGTAGGTCTGCCAACTTTTTTTCCATTCCCTTCATCTCGTCGTCCCTCCTTAAGCATCTATCTTTCCATACTTGAAGGTTGCTTTCATTGTAATACCCGCCTTGACATGCTTTCTTCAGTGCATCTCCCTCTTGGCCGACGTCCTTTTCTCCTTGGATTCTTATCCCGAGATTCTTCATTACAGTTGTCCTTCTCAACGTTAGGATCGACGTTTTTACCACTCCCACTAGGATGTCATATTTTCTTTCTGCCCGTCGTTAGCCATCTATTCTCCTTATGTTTCCCACAGACGGCACCAAATTATGGTTGCTGATTTCCGATCACATTGCCAAACAAGAACTCAGCAGGAGAGCACAGGCAGAATAGATCATGTCCAAACAACCTGTCGCAGAGAGATAAGACTCCTGCAACGGTTCGTCCACCCGAGACACTCCGACGATCAAGTCAATACTCAATTATCTCTCAAAAATAGCAAATAGTGCTTAAGTCACTACCCAGAATATAAAAAGCGTACCTTAGACCCACGAGGGTGCCTTACTTTTATAACTTGCACTAACATGATCCTGTAGAAGCCTAGCTTCAATGAACTCTACCTCAATGCTCATTTTGGACTCCTGACTAGATAGAGATAAACTCCCTAAGAGTTTTATCTTTATCTAGACTGAGGTCTTCTCCCATTCTAGGACTCTTGTCCCTTATCTCGGATTCCGATATCTCCGCAGACAACCTTGGCTTAGCCGAGATCACCTCGACAACATGACCAAGACACGTGACACCTTGACTGACATTCCGGTACCACATTAACCACGTGTTATCATTCACAAAATATATCCTCACATACACCAAAAAAGTTATACTAGGCCTCGTTTGGGAACAGGCTAATTTAGTAACTTTTTGGCTATTTGGCTAAAATGTGATGTAAAAAAAACTAGTATGTTTGAGATGACTTTTTGACTTTTTACGAAAAGATGTGCAAAAAGTAGAGAGAAGAGGGAATCTTTGACTTTTTGATATGAGTTGTTGGCTTTTTGATTTTTCTAGTAACTTTTTGACTTTTTAACTAAAATAGCCTCTTGCCAAACGAGGCCTAAATACATGAATAAATTTACACCATACAAAGAAAAGAGTTTCACCATTATAAAAACATAACTTTTTTTTTCCCACTGATCTACTAAAATATAATTTCTTTTCAACAATATGTCATACTATTATTATCACTCATTTTTTTTTAGTATTGCTCTCATTTTGATTCGGGATGAGATTGAGTTTTCAAGTCCGTCCACGCCACGCCACGCCACGCCAGTGTGTCTGTGTCATCCTTACTTGGATTTATACATATATTTTTTGGCTCTATCCTTAATTGTATCCAAGCGGTCACAAACTAATTATGCCAAGTGTAAATAAGTTTTGAGATTTTTTAATTAAAATAAAAATTACTTTTGTACTTTTAAAAATTATATTTTATTTCTTAAAATTTTTAATTTCATAATTAATCACTTCTTTTATTAATAAATTATCAAGTCAATTAATAATTTTAAATAATATTAAAAATATATTTCAATTAATAATTTAGATAATTTTATTATTGTATAGGAGAGTAATTATGAATTTTATTTTTTTAATTAATTATGTCAAATAAAAAATTCTAACAAAATGATATTTTTTAAAATCATATAAAACAATCTGTACTTTAATTGATATCTCTAATAGTGTATGGGGCCCCACAATGATCTGATATTTGTGTCTATTTTTTTTTTTTATTGCCAAGTCATTAAAATTCTATTTAGATCTCCAAAATTAAAAAAATATATCATTTTTAAAAAATTCAAAGAATATATTTATAATTTAATCATATATGAAATATTTTTAAACCTATAACCAAACGATCCTTCATCTTCCCACCACACCAAATTGATGTTGGCTTTACCAATTATTTTGAGAGTCTAGTGATATTTTTTTATTATTTAAATCTCGAACCTTTTATTTTGGGATAAATTGCTCCTTTAACATTTATAAAAAGTACAATTAGCCAACATTTTGACATAACTATATTGTTTTAAAATTTTAATCCACCTAACTGTTAAATTATTTTTGTCAATGTCTACCTACTATCTATATTAATATCAGTCACTTTAATTGTATTAAAAGAAAAGCCGTTATAATTATGTCAAAAATGTGATACTAATTCTGACTTTGTTTAGTTTGTGTTTTGAAATATTATTTCAATTTATTTTTTTTATTTTTTTTGTTACCGGAAAATCCTCACGCAGATCCAAGGCAACGCCCATTTGAGATCACAAATTCCAATTAAGTCAAGACTTCCGTAGTGAAAAGGAGTTGACCCCACACCAAGTGTCATGTATAGTAACAACTTGAAGTCCTCCCCCAAGCCAACTGCGTTGCGCCTAGGGGGTCAAAAATAATTTTCTGAAGAGAGTTTAAAAAAATTAAAAATTTATTTGATTGTATATTTTGAAAATAATTTTGAAATTTGAGATGATTTAATTTTTTTTTGCAGTTCAATTGATAAGTATAAAAGAAAAAGTGATTGAAAAGAAGAGACGAGAAAAAATTAATTTATTAATGTACAATAGAGAGAAAAGTTATTTTAAAATTGTTTTTTACAAAAATTCAACCACATGTTTTTGCAAAAACATGTTTTGAGAAAAAAAAAAACAAACATGCTCTCTATTTTCACCAAACTTTAAAAAAGGTGAGCATAATTTACCCTAATTATAACATTACATAACCATAGCAATACATCTTTTTCATTGATATCAACTCCTTGCCAACAACCATGAATTGCAACAAAAAGAATATATATATATATGGAATTTTTTGAACAGAGAAGCTAAAGCTTACATTAAAGTAACAAGAGAACACTCTTTATTTTAGTGTTCCATATCTGGGTGAAGCCATACCCAGCTCTGCTCATTAAATAGCAACAGATACAAAATGGGACAACATAATTGATAAAGAGTACAATTCCATGGGAGAGATACAACCATTTTCAATAAACTATCCAGCAACAAAATCGGCTTCATGATACACAAAACATATAACTTACAGTTGCTGAAACTTCGACATGAGCCAAGGGCTGTCGATGAGAAAATGCTGCAGCCACTGGTTCTTCACCTGTTGCCTGCGTAAAGTATTAAATACCATCAGAGGATCAGTTTCAATGACACCGCTTTTGTACCCATGTTCCCCAAACTTGCCAAATGCCTTCGCCAATTTCCCAGAATTCAACAATCACATTTGTGTTGAGCACATACACTTAATTTATTAGTTAAAATATATATTAATATATGCACAAACTGCATTTTTAAAATCCATTCAAACTACTGATTAGGACTCACTTTGCTCCTCGAGCAGGCCTTCACTAGCATCATACCCACTTCCCCAAGCCCTCATCTTCCATATCCTCTCCACCTCCTCGAATGACAAGCCCTTAGTCTCTGGCACAAACATTACCACAAACACAACTGCAATAACTGCCACGCCTGCTAGTATCAAGAAAGTGGGACCCGTTCCCACAGCTTCAGCGACCGAAAGAAAACTCTGGGTTACGATCAGATTCGAAATCCAGTTCACAGTAGCAGACATGCCTCCACAAATCCCTCGATACGACTCCGGGTATATTTCCGAGTTCACGGTCCAAGGCACTGGTCCCATGCCAGGTGCAAAGAAAGCGATGTAGAGGGCTAACCCTAGAACCGCCAGCCACCCGTAGAGACTGTTTGAAGAACCAGAAGATTGGAGGAAGAATGCTGTGGAGAGAAGGATGAGGGACACGATCACGCCAGATAAACTACTGAGGGCCAACTTTCGACGCCCGAAGTGATCAATGAGGTAAATTCCAAGAACTGTTCCTGCAGCATTCATTGCAGCGACAATCATTGATAAGAGAAGTGCTAATTGGTTGGAACTGAAGCCTGCCATCTGAACAATTGTTGGGCTGTAGTACATGACCGTGTTGATACCGGTAAACTGCTGAAATGCCTGCAAATTCAGAATGCTTTAGCAAAGACATTTACAACTTATATTGTCATGTCATTCCCCAAGATTTCCAAGAAATCATCTGAGGATGCACACAACGACCAACTAATGATGTTCCCTCAACAAAATTAATTTTGTTTCTCAAGACAAATGCAACATTAATTGAATATAACAAAAGATAATAGCCTAATTTTGTGCACAATGAGGAACAACTACACTAGCAAGGAAGAGTTAAATAACCCACATTATGAGTAAAGAGAGAATATAAAATTGATTCCTTAAGATAGCCGTGGAAATATTTCTTTAAGAACTAAAAATTGCTGACAAATTATTAATGATATTTTTCCCTCTTGAAAAAACTTGGTAACACCACAAACTACATAATTAACTGCAACAGCACTCCTGTTAAAGGGAGAGCGTCAATATCTCAATCGAAATGCCAAGATGGCACAAACCTGCCAACCATTAATGGCAACGGAAAAGAAGTTACTATTTCGAAAAAAAATTAGTTTTTCTGCGAAGTTTCAATCTTACCTGAAGTCCTGCTCCAGCCAGGAATGCAAGTCTGATTTCTTTCAATTTAAATACATCCCAGTAACTGACAGAATTCTTTCTTTGCTCTTCTTCCTCTAATGCAATAGAAAGCTGATTTATCTCCTCCTCTAACCGGTAAGGACCATAAATTCTAGAAAGCACAACAATGGCTTCAGCTTTATCTTTCTGCACATCAACAGAAAAAGGTTTTCAATAATTACGCGAAAGAAAAACAGCTGGAGAAATAACTGTGTTTTCAAGAGACTTCTTAAAAGGATGTAGTAAATTGTACCTTCATGTAAAGCCAGCGTGGGGACTCTGGCAAAAATATCATGAGGCAAAACTGAATGACAGCTGGTACACCAGAAACTCCAAGCATCCATCGCCATGTCCCTGGAACCTGCTCAGTCATTGACATGGCAGAAAGACTTCAATGTACACTCTCAGAAAAAAAATGTAATCAAAGTAAAGAAACAAGGGGAAAATATCAATAAAATGGGAAATGGGGAAAATATTCTTAATTCAGTGGAATCTTTTCAAAAAATGGAGGGGAAAAAAAAAATCAAAGCCATGGAATCTGGCTTTGGTTTGACAAAACAAACCCTCTTCCCTTTCCACCTCCTTTTCCCTCTCTGTCTTCCAATTCCCTGTGCTCGCCACTGGCCACCACTACAAGTCTCTCCACTGCCAGCCCTTCTCCCACCCCCTTCAACCACCTCCAGTCCCTCCCCCACCCTTCAACTCCACCACCATCCCTAATCCCTCATCCCACCCTTCAACTCCACCGCCACCCCTAGCCACTGGGCCAGGGCTCTGACCTATCCTACTAGATGCTACGAAAGGCCTAAGCAATATAGAAGGGCTAATGCACCTGTGGCCAAAATTTTTTTTCTTTTTTTTTTTTTTTTCCAGCCTCATAAATAAATCCATTGGAAATATTTAGCAGGTAGCAAAAGCATATAACATCATCATGATTACTTCCTATCTCATGCTAAATATACTTATAGAATCAAAAGACCACAATCATAAATACACACCTCACCCCAATGACTAATGATTCCCTTACAAGCATGCACACTAAACTACAACCAGTTTAATCCCCATATTTTAGGGTGTAGGAGGGTTAAATTGGGTATAGACCTAACCCTTCACATAACTTGCACAAAGTGGTTATCCTCAAGTTCAACCCACAATCTCAAGGTTAGTAGGCCGAGTTTTAAACCACTAAACCATTGACCCCATTTAAGATTGTATGTTTTGTGTATTTTATATTAAGGGTAGTTTACTCATTCATTTTTTTTTCCCCCTTTGTTTAAGCTTTCTTGTATTATATACATGATTATGCAATAGTAAACGATTGAGATTTTCTTTCCAAGAGAAGAAGTATTATTTCCATTATTATTTAGGAAACTTTATTTTTTTTAAAATAATATTATAAGTGATAGTAAGGCCCACATATATTAGGAAAACACTATGGTACACACCCCTTAAAGAGTGTGTACCGCATGCATCTTATAACTAAACAAGAAAATGATATAATTTCATATTTTCTGAATCATAACTTAAAAAAATGTCATAACCAACCACAACATGAAGCATAACTAAAAAACTCATGAATCATAACTAAAGAAAATAATTAGTCATAATTAAAGAAGAAAATGACATAACTAAGGATGTATATGGTACACCCCTTTCAAGGGTGTGTATATTAGAATTCCCTATATATTAATACCAAAACCACTTAAAAATTAGTGGCCTTAGCAACACTTTATAAACTTTCCAAACCTACAATTAAAATCAAGCTAGTCCAATTTTAACAGCACTATGTTGGTACTCACAGAAATTATGTTGACAATTTTCCATAAAACCACCAAGCGTTCACTATCTTCTTTAAGACAAGAACAGAACAAAATAAGAGATGGAAGACCACTAGAAAATACTAAAATGAAGAATAAGAAGCTCTTAAGCTATCCATCCTCTCTCAGGAATTCTAATTAGCTTCAGGATAGTGTTAGTCAAAAGGCAAGCAAGCATTGCTCAACAGGTTGTACAGAACCCATTTTGAGTCCATTCCAAAAAGCTAATAAAACCACTTGCCTGTTAATCAGACCAAGTTTATTCATCACAAACCTAATCTGATAGTAGTTAGTTAGTTATATGCTAGTGATTTGACATCATATTTCATCTGGATAAAAATGATACAGTGTCTGAATACAGGAAAGTGCATAAAATGAGAAGCAATAAAATCTGACCTCAGTGAAAGCAAGATTGACCACATATGAAAGAAATTGTCCACCAGTAATCATAAGCACATTAGTACTGACAAGACCTCCCCTTATTTCAGACGGTGATGCCTCTGCAATATACACAGGAGCAGTAACAGATGCCACACCCACACCCAAGCCAATCAATAGTCGTCCAAGTATGAGAACATATGGATCTGGTGCAGCAGCCATAACAACTGATCCAATTGCAAAGACAACATCTGCAAGAAGAGTAGCTTTCTTGCGTCCATAAGCATCATTTAACCAGCCACCTGCTGCAGCTCCAATAATTGCACCAACCAAAGCCATGCTAACAATAGTTTCCTGCCAATTTCCAGATTTAAAACCTTCAACAAAAGAAAATGTTCACAACTATAGTGGCGAAGGAACAAAATTTGCTTTTGTTTCCATTGAAAGAACCGAATAGTTTCCGTTTCCTAAGAGACCGAAACAAAACACTGATGCTGTAACAAAATCCTAGTATTTCCACTGGAAGACAACAAAACATTGTGAAAGATATCAAAACCAAACAAAACATAGCAAAACAATAAGTTATGTTGACTCAAATTTGTAATCTCCCATAAATGTTTTTATATATATTTTTTATTAGTAGTATATAAATACTATTATTATTACTATCTTAATAAATTCTTAGACCTTAACCATATACAATTTTCTTTGATAATTTAGTTGACAATAGTTAGCATTTTTTTTTGTTCGTAGAAACATTTACTATTTAATTTTACATTTGTTCCTATATACAAATCAGTGAACGAGTCTATAAATTTGAATATGTTTAATTGACACTTATTAGGATTGTATACACTTAAATACGTTTTAGCTTCTGAATCTAAACATTTCATATATTTTCACATTCTTTTTGTTTCTTTCAAAACGTTACCGAAATTTTTCTGAAATTTTTATGTTTTCATGCTCACTGAAACAACAGGCCGAACAAAATTTTGATCCTTGAAAGTGGCATCTTTAAGAGTTACAAGGACATAGACTACAAGTAAGAAATTGGGAGAAAATTCTGTATAACTTTGAACTTTGAAACTTTCCAAATACAACCGAAAAGGCAAGGACAACGCTTCGGAATATTACACTTCAAATTTATTCTGATTTAAAATATGGCTGATTCCACAAAAAAAATTAAAAACTACTGCTCATAATGAACCCTAACCTGTAATCCTAAGAAGCACGGACACTTCTAAGAAGGTGACGTATTCGTGTCGTATCCGTGTCGGACACCGATACTCTTTGGACACTCTCAGGACATGTGTCCAACACTCTTCAAAACGTGTCCTATTTTTAAAATTTTTTTAAAGACTTGAACACTCTTTGGACACTTGAAAGACATACATGTCCATCGCTTAAATACAAGTGTCTAACGATTAGACATATGTGAAATTAATTATAAGTTTGAACAAAACAACTTAAGATACAATAATAAAACAAAAAATATATAAATTTGTAAGAATTAGTATCATATTGTATTTTTTATTATCTTTTTAATGATATATTCATATATATAACATATAATAAATATATAAAATTACATATTTCATGCGTGTCCCTCACGTGTCGTGTCCTACATTTTTTGAAAATTAACGTGTCAGCGTATCCGTGTCGTACTCGTGTCGTGTCACGTGTCCGTGTCCATGCTTCTTAGCTGTAATCTAACCAAAATCTCCTCCCTTGAACACAAAACACAACTACCTTACCACCACTGACCCCACATGCTCGGAACCTCTCACCGCCAACACCTCAGTAATATGACAATGTGAATCTTCTTTACATTTCACACTTGATAACAATTTGCAAACGAACACACTGTCTTTACCTCCTTTTTCCAAAATGCTAACAAGATTGAACTTCTCCATGTCAAATAAAAGAGATTAGTTGGTGTGTACCTGTAGGAAACTACTATCATTGACTGCCTCAAATTCTTCTTTAATATACAGAAGGGCCCCTGATATTACTCCTGCAATCAACATTGTCAAATTGACAACATGCAGCATCTCAAAACAGTCACAGAGCATGAGACATGATAATTACGAAATGAAAATTTAAGTAACAGGAAAAGGACAACATTAAACCACACAAAAACTCTAATCAATTCTAATTCTCATGTTTTGGGTTTTAATAAGTATTGAGAAATATTTTAATTAAGAGAACATTAAGCCATTTGCAGGTGAAAATTGAGTTCTTTGGGCTGTGGAGGATTGACAGAGTGAACCATTAGTTTTTGAAGCACTTTCGCAATTTTCTTTTATCAGCTACCACTCTAATTCTTTTGTATAAACTACCCACCAGGCAGAAATCCCTAATGTCGAATTCTGTTCTAGATAGACAAAATTCAAACTTGGTAGAATTTTGCATATAAATTTCACAATCTTGATTTTTTCAAAAATAAATTCACGAAGGTTTAACTACTAAATTGCTTGCAGTCAACCCCCAAGGGTTGCCTTAGTGGTATAGGCTTGGGACTTGGGAGTTTGTTCCTCAGCAGGTCTCAGGTTCAAAATCTCTTAGGTGCTATCAATCCTTGTGTTGGGCTAATCTATACGGAGCTATGCCCAGACTTTAATTGGCCCCCACGCTAGTGGATGGTGGGATTGGTATCCCAAGGATTAGTCGAGGGGCACGCAAGCTGGCCCGGACACCTGAGTTTTCAAAAAAAAAAATTTGCTTGAAGTTCATACAATACGCAATTATCATTTTTCTTTACTTGCTAACCATTCTTTTTTGCTTTTGATTTGCTTCATTTTTTTTCACTACAAGAATTGTCTATTGGTAGTGTACAATCTTTATCAATCAGGAAGCAACAGATGCAATGTCAGCATTTACACTGGCAACAGACCTGAATCAAAGCTGACTGATCCCGGAGATTACAGTGGATGGCCTCCTTCAACAGGGCTATTATGAAGACAATGATTAGTACACTGGGGGGGGGGGCATATGAAGCAGCACCTCACTGGGTTTTGTGGCGCTGAAAGCATGGGAGCTTACTACGTTTTTGAAGCCAAAAGATTCATAACACCCTCGAAAAAAATACTAAAAAGTACCCTCAAAATCCATAAAGCCAGGAAGAGACTGTTTTGTAAACAAAATCATCCAAATCCTAGGCACCCAGTTTGGCTTTAAAAATATAAATGAACAAGGAAAAGGTTTCTTACAAAAATTTGGCCATTTTAAAAGTTTTAATTAATCTGATAAAAACCAACCAATGAAAGAAATTAACAACACACCTAAAATTGAATAAACAAGAATAATACAAGAACTTGTTATACCCAAATAATTCAATACCTGTATCATAGCCAAAAAGCAGTCCTCCAATACCGGCAATCACAGTCAAACCCAGTACATACCGGTTGCTGAAGTATGAGATTTTCCTATTCTCAGCATCTAAATACCCTGAACTCCCGGGTACCGATGTGATTGTCATCGAATTTTTTTAGTTGAACACCAAGACTCAGTAATAAATGGAAATTTTTTATGATATCAATCACTGTGAATGATCCAATGCAAACTCACTTTATCCAATTACTATGTAAAATGACAAAGCTCAAAAATAACTGTACAGACAACCACAAATGCAACCAATTCAAAACCCAAAAAAAGATAACTCAGACCCGGTTGAAGGGTGGATAGAACAAGCACGTACAACCCCAATTAAAGACTATTGTAACAGAAGTAACAAATTCTAACAGAATCTGAACTGAACTCAAGTGATTATAGACTAGGACTATATAAACAGATCAATGTAGACATAACCCAGAAAAATTGACAGTTTGACTGGCAGATTAAGAGCTTAATCTCACTTGCAAATACACAAAAAAACCTAGAAACCCACAAAAATTGAAGACATTTCTGTGAGACTATAAACAAAGTAATGATCTCAAAAGCACCAGCAACCAATTTCCTAACTCATTTGGTTCGAGCCCTATACAAAAATAGAGGAATTCACAGACAAAGATGAAAACCCAGAACTTTCCTGGGATTTGCAACCCAAATTTGTAGGTTGGATGTAAGGAAATTATCAATTGTTATATACGAAAGAGAGTTTAGTACTGGGATTTTGGGATTTTCCAATAAAACAGGGGATTTAGGGATTTTTTTGAAAAAGTTTTAGATTAGGTGGGGTATTTGATGTATGTAGTTTCGTTTCGTTTTCCTTCCGAGAAAACACGTGAAAAATTAATAACATAAAGAAAAGCACGGAACCAGACGGTTCTTTGTTTTGAGACTGTTTTCTTTGTTTTCAGTGTTGGAGGCTTCAAGGGGTGAACGGATGACAAAGCATTAAAACGTAATCGTTTCGCAAATGTTATTTTAGGCCAAGTTTGGCATCCTCTAAAAAAATTTAAAAAGTCAAAAAGTCACTATCCTATTTAAGTCATATCATCTTATTTAAGTCACATCACTTCTCTAATACATCACTTCAAACCCAACCCAAATCCAACTCATATTTCATAAAAAGTCAAAAAGTGCACTTATTTAGTCTTCCCAAACTTTACCTTAGTAATTTTAAAATTTTTTATAAAAAAATATGTGGGTGATATGGTAATTTACAATAATTTTTTAATATTTTTATTAAAATATTTAGTCTCGAAATGAGAACACCTTTCACATAAGTGGACTCCAACATGCAGTTTGTTTATTGAGGGCCCTATCTAAGGTTATTACGAAAATCTGAATAATTTATTTTATAAATTTTGTTAAGTAATATATTTATATAAAAATTATAATTTATTTTATAAATTTATAATTTATTTTATAAATTTTGTTAAGTAACATATTTATATAAAAATTAAATTAATAGTAGTCTTATGATTGGATAGCCTTTTATTTTGAAAAAGATGGGCAGTCAAATTTGAAAATAATATATACCATTCATTTTTAGAAAGAAAAATGTTATCCTATTGTACAATTATTAATATTTAATTATTTTATATTTTTTATTAATAATTTATTCAACAAATTTTATAAGATTATGATGGAGTGATAGTGAGCAAAAGAAAAATAATTAGAAGGTCTAATAAATGAGTTTGGGAGTGGATGTCACTGTGATTTAATATTTTGACTTTAGTTTTATTTTTTTTATTCCTTGCCGCATCATTAGGATTCAATTAGAATTTTAAAATTAGAGAAATGTATCATTATTCGTGAGCAAAATATACTATGCACAGAAATTGTTTCCTTTAAGAGGGGATTAATAGTGAGAAGATTAAGTGAAATTGTGTTTGTTTTGATGACAGTTGTTAGTGTAGGAATTGTTAAATTATTTTTGTATAAAATAATATAACAAATAAAAAATACAAAAACATTAAACAGTAATGTTTAAAACAATGTCCAACATGTAAAAAAAATTAAAAAAAAACTGAAAAATAAAACAAATAAAACAATGATTTTTGCTTAACAAAAAATATAAAAAATAAAATAAACATTAATGTTCAAAAAAATGCCCAACATGTAAAAAATTAAAAAAAAAATCTAGTCCAGCGGACTATTTTTCTAATACCACCTCTAAGACTGAGCAAGGAATCTGTGAAGTCCGTAATCTAATTCGGTCCAGTCCAATCCGGTAGGTTAGATTGGTTTTTTGAATCCATTGCTCGGTTTCGGATTAAAAATTTAAAATCCATAGTCCACAGATCGGTTCTGGATTGGAACCGATTCGGATCGTATACAAATGGCCTATGTTTCTATTATACACCCTCCCGCATAGTATCTTCTCTTATTTCATATAAAACATAAACCCAAACCTAAACTCACATAGTATCTTCTTTTCTTGTTTTTGTTTGTTGGTTTTTAATTTTAATTTGTAATGGTCTAAATACTTATGGTGTAACTAGTTTTCTTATAATTGTTTTAATTATAAAATAATACGCCGCTATTATAGAAAGACATGTTGCTATTGTATAACTAATCTAATACTATGTTTATGTTTTTATGAAATTAAAATGTTCTACATTTTTTTTGCTATTTCATTATGCGAATTCGTGGTCATAAACCGATCAAATCCGTATTTAAATGGATTTGTTGTACGATTTAAACGGATTGGATTGATTCTAATTTTTCAAGAACTGTAAATAACGAATTGGTCCTAGTTTTACCTCAATCCAGACCAATCTGGATCATGTTCACCCCTAACCACCTCCACCTCCACCTCTTCCTCCTCCTCCATCCAAATTCCCCTTCCAAGGTTCAACCTAATCCCCTCCTCCATCTCAATTCATTTCTCAAATATACAAACAAATACAACATTAAATAGATCTCACCTTTATCCTAATCTCATTTCTTCCGTTATATCCCAAAACAAAGGGAGGCTAAAACCACAAACAACTTTTCCCTCAAATTTGTTTGACAATTTAAATTTAGGATAGTTTGTTTGGCCGGTTCAACAGCCGGACTGAAGTAGGATTGTTGTGGATTCCATCTATAGTATTATTGGTGTTGTTTGGGAGGGTTAGCTTCACAACTTGGATGACTTAGTAATATCCCTCAGTAAGGGATTAGCTTGACTGGAAAATGAGTGAGATTAAGAAAATAGTTAGTGGTTTCGGTCTATCCGATCGTTTGCTTGGATGTTCGGTACAGTGCAAATTTTTTATTTTTATTTTTTTTTACAAACATAGTTGGCCAACAAAAAAACATTCATCTGGCCAAAAAATAGCTGGCTGGCCAATTTTATTTTATTTTTTAACAATCTCAGTGCACCTTTTGTTTTAATATTTATTTTAATTTTTTTAATATAGTTTTTAATATAGGAATAATTTAACGATCCTATCATTAATCATCTCTTACATTATTATCAAAATGAACACACTTTCTCTTAATGCTGTCACTAACAATCTCCACTTTAATAATTTATTCACTAATCATCCCCTTACTAACAATCACCTCTAACCTAATCTACCAAACAAATGTTGCCTTCATATAATGCATTTAGATGATGATAATCAAAATTTTCACAAAACTTTTTTAAAATGTTTAGTTTTGAAAAGAGTTTTGAGTTTTGTGTTTTTGAATTTTGAATTGTATTTTGAATTTTTTGGATTTATTTTTTTAAAATATTAAAAAGGGTTTAAGTTTTTTTTTATTTAAATATATAATTTTTATTCAAATTTTTTATTTTAAACATTTTCTTTTATCTTGTAAATATTTTAATTTTAATTTTATTATTTTAAACTCAAAACACAATTTCACACTTAAATCGTAACCAAACACGTAACTTAAAACTCAATTTAATAATTATTTTTAAAACTCATAACCAAACACATAACTCGAAATTTCATACTACTTTCAAAACTTTACACTCAAATCATAACCAAAACATAACAAAAAAATTTAAATATTTTAAAATATATTTATAAAATAAAATAAAATATTTAAAATAAAAATTATATATTTAAAATAAAAAAATAATTTTTTTAAAATTTGTTAATATTTAAAAATATATGTTTAACATAAGTTTGTATTTTTTTTAAGTTTGTGTTTGGTTATGAGTTTTGAAAATAATTTTTGAATTGACCAACACAATCATAAAACTCAATTCAAAAATTATTTTCAAACATCATAACAAAACACATATTAAATCATAATTCTAAAAATAATTTTAAAAAATAAAATAAAAAATATTTTTAAAATTTTTTCTGTTAAAATAGAGTTTTAAAAGGAATTTAGTTTCGAGTTTTGAAAAAAAAAATTAAATTGAATTTTAAATTGTGTGTTTAATTATGAATTTTGAAATTAAATTTTAAATTAAATTTTAAACAATTATGTATTTAATTATAAATTTTAAAAAATAACTTAAAATTATTTTTAGAATCATAGAGTGAGCTGTCAAATCAAACGGGGCGTTTGATTTTTAGGCATTAGAGTGAGCTGTCAAATCAAGTTATTGATGTAAATTGTCAAATAAAATAAAAAAGTTAAAAATGCTCTTAGGGTTCTAATATTAGGGCAAATTACATATACCCCTCGAGGTTTGACTAAATTACAGATATTTCTTGAGGTTTGAGAAATTACGAATTTTTCCCTGAATGCTATATTTGCATAAGAAATTAGGGGGTAATTTGTTATGAAATATAAACCTCAGGGGGCAAATTGTTATGAAAATACAAACCTCAGAGGGCGGGATGTAATTTCCGAAACTTCAGGAATATCTGTAATTTAACTAAACCTCGAGAGAGGTATATGTAATTTGCCCTCCAATATTATTACTATCAGTAATGAGATTTTAATTTAAGAGTTTTAATGATGAGTCTCATGTGATATTTTAAAAAAAAAAAATTTCTGGTTTAACATCTCACTAGAATTTATGTTAAAATTTTAGTATTGGAGGTCTTTATTTATCACTACCCTTATTACTATTGTATAAATCTGAAACATTTGTCTCTTTAGTCATTTTACTGTTTAAGTGACACATAGTATATAATAATTTATTTTTTTATTTATTTGAATAATCATTTAATTATGTCATAAAAATTATATATATGCCTTTTTCATAATACACATAAAAATATATATGTGCCTTTTTCATAATACACATTATATCTATAATATTTTTATTTAAAAACAAGTTGCGTAAGAAAGTCGTCTTTTGCTCCCCAGAGGTGAGTCACCTATCTTCAATTCCGATTAGATTCGGACGTCAGACGTGGACGAGTGAAATATAATGAGATGGTTTGAAAAGATGATTAAAAATTATTTTTTAATTTTTTTATGAGAAGGGAAAGTAGATTAAAAGTTGATAAGTGATTTTTAATTCATTTTTTAAAATAGGCCAGTTTGTTCGGCAGTTTAAAAACATGTTTAAATGTGGAAAATATTTTTTATTAATTTTTATTTTTCTTAAGTTCTTTGCTGTATCAAATGCCAAACAAATGAAAAAGATATATTAAAAATAAATTAAGTATGGAATTATTATTAATACTGATATAAACTTATAATAAGAGAGCTGTAGGCCTCGTTTGGGAACAGGCTAATTTAATAACTTTTTGGCTATTTGGCTAAAAAGGTAGGTAAAAAAAATTTGTATGTTTGTGATGACTTTTTGGCTAATTACGAAAAGATGTGCAAAAAGTATAGAGAAAAGAGAATCTTTGACTTTTTGGTATGAGTTGTTGGCTTTTTGGCTAATTTAGTAACTTTTTGACTAATTGGCTAAAATAGCCTCTTGCCAAACAGAATATACCTTATGTGATTTATGTAATGCCAAACAATTTATTTCAACAAACTTATTTAATATTAAG